TGGGGGGGGGGGGGGGTGGGGGGGGTGGGGAGTGGGGTGGGGGTGTGGTTTCATTTGTGAACCTGTGCAGGGGCTGAGTTCTGGGAGTGGCCCAGGAGCAGCCCAGTGGGAGGTAGGATGGATTCAGAGAGAAACAGGTAGCACCTGACAAGTGCCTGAGAGATGGTAGGAGGGATCTGGTGGGTCTGGGTGTGGCTGAGTTCACCAAGTCCTCTCAGGGTTGGGGGCTAGGTGACCCAGTTACACGCTCCCACGTGAGGCAGGGTGTCAATATTCAGCAATCCTATTTCTGTGCTCTACCCCTTAAATGGGGAATTTAGACGCAACCCCATGTTTCCTAGTTGGTGACTAAGATAGTCAACCACCCAGCTTCAGAATTACACAGTTTTGAAAATTCTGAGAGACAGACACATAAGAGAAAGACTTTTAGACCACGCGCTAGCTGCCAAATGCCTAATTTTTGTCCAGAGAGAAATAGAAAAATGTTTTAAAAGACCCATTGGCCACCCTGCCAACCCTTCCTTCTCTGAGATGTGCATTCCAGATCCCAAGAATCACATCTACACCTACATCTAGTACTTCGCTAAAGGATGCAATGTTGGCTCATTTGGGTAGCTTCCAATCATGATGAATGGCCAATGCAAGCAATCTATGAAGTCCAGAAAGAAAGGGCCTTCATGAATTATTTCTGATGCTAGTTTGCAAAAGGAAAAATCATCAACACTTTGCATGGAGAGGCAATTAGGGGATGTGTCTGATTTTGCCTCTCTCTCACGTAGGCCTCGGTGTTCTCTACCGTGAGAGTTTGTGTGCTTTTCTGTTTTACGTTTCTCACACTGGGAGACAAATTGCATTTGATCCTCAGCAGGTGGGGCCGATAAAGCCTGGGATGCTCATCCAGCAGTGTGATGGCCTCCTCAGCATAGGCAGGGTGTTGTAGCAGGGCCCCCACCTTAATCGAAGAAAATCGAAGTCTCCCACTCCCAAGGAGCTCTTTGTGGGGCTGCAGCATAGAACAGATGGATAAACCTTTAGAGTCCCTAATCTACATCTCCCTGCACTTTACTTTTTCACATGATCTTATCCCAAAAACCTCATTCCTCTCCATCAAATATGTTTTGAGCTCTTCCTAAATACCGGGCACTGGGTCCTCCCGGCAGCCTGTTTTATGGACACCAGTAATAAGAACGAGCATTTTTTGGTATATTTATATGGTTCTAGGCACAATACTAAGTATTTTATGGACATTATCTCTTGCAATCGTGGCCATTTTTATCCCCACTTTAGAGACGAGGAAACCAATTTAATATGATCCGTTACAGGTTCATAATCCTTTTTCTGAAACCCTAGGGCCTGGAGTGCAGAATTTTTGTGGTGCAGATTATATATCATATATTATGTGAGAACCCCAGTACAGCAGCACCAAATAATAAAATGCATCAATATCTATGCAAAGAGACATTTAAACAGTCTTGCTCAGTAGGATAAGGATTATGAATAGCCTCATGTCAGTGAGGGCCATGATGCCAATTGAATTACAAAAAATGTTTTTTGGTTTTCAGAGTTTTTTGGAGACGTGGATAAGGGACTGCCACGTGTTTAGGGCTCCCCAGTTTCATGTGTATCTGAGCCCGGTCTCCAGTCGCTGCCCCATTCCAAAGCCTATGTGTTTGATCACCATCCACACTTCTTTCTCCAAAGTCTAATTGACTTCTCTCATTTTTAGCACAGGCCATTGGAATAACCTGCCGCCTCACTTCCCCAGGTCTGCCCTTGCCCCCACATTCATTCCCCACCCCAGCACTCAGTGGGGCCTCTGAATGAAGTTGGATCAGGTGATACCCCAGCTTTAGATGCTTTTGTGGGTCCCCACCCCTTTCTGCACCTTCCCAGGCTCTCTCTGCCCTGCCCACCCCACCCTTGTTCCAGCTACTAAGGTGAGAGAACTTCACTATTTATTCTCGTTTAGGTTTTTGCTTTTGTCTTTTCTTCAAACACAAGAAGCTTTTTCTCCTGTCAGTGTTTTCTCCTATCATAGTTGCTGTCCGAAATATTCTCATCCCTTCTCGTGGCACACTTTTCACCCCTCTCTATCCTGTTTTCATTCCTTCAGAAGCTTCAGTCACTTCCCCAGTGAGGTCTTCCCCAGCCACTCGAATTAAAGTACTTACTTCCCAACCTGCTTTTTCCCACCCAGCACCCCTTCCCCCTCAAACACAATTTCACTCAGCAATCAAGAATTCTCATGTGCTTACTATGCACCAATCGTTTACTTGCTGTGGGTGTGGAGGGGAAAGGCTGGGTGGGGGTGGGAAGTGCGTGAGCCTAGATTGTCAAGGACTGAGCGGTTTCCCCTCTGAGCACAGGGCATGTAGTCAATGTATTAAGGGAATCAAAGCCAGGAAATGGATGGTTCCTTGCAGCCACTTGCCAAGAGGTGGGTGATCTGAGTACTGGCCCCTGGCAGCCATGGAAACCACTTCCAGTTACTCCCTCATGCTCCCCATTCATGGCAGACCTCATGATCATCCAGGTACTTTTCCTTCTGAGCCCCAAAGTGGCCTTAGCATCCTTCCCAGCATAAGAGCCCTGTCAATTCATCAACCTGGCCTGATTTGCCATTGCAGACCTATGCAATTTAAGGTAGAGCACACTTCTTAGCTCTAGTTAAATATTCATAAACATTTCCTTTTAGAGAGGATATAGGTGGAAGCATTTCTTAAAAACCGTATCTTGCTCTGGATTTATTGAGTCTATTTTTCCCCTCTTTTTCTTTTCTTTTCCCAGGAGAAAATAATGAATGTCAAAGGAAAAGTGATTCTGTCAATGCTGGTTGTCTCAACTGTAATTGTTGTGTTTTGGGAATATATCAACAGGTAATTATGAAACATGTTGAAATGATGTAGATGAAAGTTACTCTGATCTGCTAGTGTTAGCCAAGTCATCAGGTTGAATTAAAGATAGATTCCACCCTTCCGGTGTCCCTGAGCCCTGAACTGTCTTTTTTAAAAAAAAAATTTTTTTTCTTTATTGATTAAGGTATTACATATGTGTCCTTATCCCCCCATTGTCCCCCTCCCCCACCGCCACTTATGCCCTCACCCCCCTGGTGTCTGTCCATTGGTTAGGCTTATATGCATGCATACAAGTCCTCTGGTTGATCTCTCCCCCTTACCCCACTCTCCCCTGAATTGTCTTTATAAGCATTTGAGCTCCAAGTGCCTTCTGGCTAATTCACTAGCTTCCTTCCCAATGTCTTGATTTTTGTACTTAGGCAGTTCTGGGCAGGCTAAGCACAGAAATAGTAAGGTCTTATTAAGCCCAAAATGTAATTAAAATTATCCATATGGCCAGATACAGAAATTACCTTTAAGAAATTTCAGACGCAAGTTCCATGAGAAATCCACCCTGGTTTTTGCAATCCTGGATATTTGCAGAGTTTAATGGAGCAACTCAAGTTGTTGACTTTTGTTGCAAAATACACTTGTGATTCATTTGTGCCTGGCTGAAACTTCTTTTCTTTTCTTTTTTAACTCTGGAAAGCAAAGAGAATTAAACATTCCTGAGTGCATTCACCCAAAAGCACTGCTTCTGTGCTTTTGGAAACTACAATGCCTCAGAGATTCCAGCTGGAGAAGCTTCTGATAGAAAGAGGGCTCCACAGGCAGCTGTAAAAATGCACGATGCCTTTGACTTCAAAGGCCCTGGTACAGCTCGTCCAAAAAGTCCATCGTACAGCTCTAGGCAGGGAGAGCTGTCCAGGCACCATTAATACACTCATGGTGAAGTGTTTTAGTAGCCCCCACATTCACCATGACAGCCTGGATTAACATGCGAATGTCTTCCAATTCTTAAATTCTAAGATGAGCCAATAGGACCATTGTGGCTACCAAAAAAGGAACTGCACCTTGAGATCCATCAGTAGAAGAATTGCTCCAGAATTTGGGAGCCTTCCCCCTACACCCTGGGGTGCTGCATAATCTAACTGCTTTGGGAGTGTCATTCTGAACAACTCATTTTAAGAAAAACAAGATGAGTGTGACCAAGTTAGAAGGCCTACAAACCAGGTCTTTCAAATTGAGGAAACTGGGGGTACTTAGTCCAAAGAAAAGGTGAATCAGAGTTAGGTGAAGGGACCCCGAGCCTCCTTAGGTACTCCAGGGCTGAGTCTGGAGTGAGGGCTGCCTGGGGCTGGTCCTGTGCCACCACTTATCTCCTCGGTGACTTTGGGCAATTTACCCAGCCACTCTGTTCCTCATTTTCCCTATTTTTAAAAATGGTGATAGTAACAGTACCTGCTTCATAGGATTGTTGGGAGGATTAAATAAGATATTGAGTATAAAGCAGGTGGAGCAATATCTGGAACTTCATAAGCACTCAAGAGATGCAAGCTGCTATGTTCATCTTCTTCATCATCACCATCACCATCGTCCTCTACTCCAGAGGCAGACTAGGACAGGGGATTTTGGCAGATGGCAGGAAGCTCTAGCAGTTGGAAGAATCCAACAGAACAAGTAACCTTTGGGGGTCCTGCCCTGAATTAGGATGCTTGTGTGGGTAACCGTCAAGCTGTGAGTGCTTGATTGGATAACCATGGTGCTTTGAATTGCAGCCAGAGTTGTGCTTCCATATTTTGAGGGTTCACAAATTAAATTATTGGAGCCAAAGGCACAAATGTGCATAAAGAGGGTCATTTTGCAGTGCTGGGCACAGACTTTGCTCAGTAGTCGGGGCAGGTTCTGGCTGCTCTTCAGGGCCATGTGGCACCCAGACTGTGGCCACATCATTCCTCAATGTGAGGAGTCTACTTGAATACCTGCAAGGTGCTTAAAAGGCAGCAGATCCTTTGCCACCTTATGAACTGGCTGTGTGATGATTTGAGGTGAGCTGAGGACACTAACTTTAGACAGGTGGGCGGTGATGGGCTAAAAAGGATTTTAAAATAACTGAACACATCAAACGATTAGTAAATAAAACTGCTGTCAGCAGAGCATCTGAAAGAATGTCACCTAGGACAGCGTTTGATTTGAAGCTTGATGGAAAAAACATCTTAGAATTTTAGAGCCAGAGGAAACTTTAAAAGTTACAGTAAACGAATAATGATGATGATGGCGATCATGCTGACAGCAGCTACCAGTTACTGAGTGTTTGTTTGCGTGTACTAGGAACTGTGCTGTGCATTTCCTCCAGCTCTTAGTCCAAGTTTCTAGATGAGGGAGGAACAGTGTGTCTCTGAAGCTCTGAGCTGGATGCGGCATTAGGCTCTGCAGTCATTTTGTTTTCTGGGGGAAGGTAAATCCTGGGTGAGGGCTGGCTGGGCTGTGGTGTTCCTGAGGAGATGGCAGGAAGGAACCCATCTGTAAGCCTCTCTCCCTCGTTGAAGCCACAATGAAGAGCTGTCGTCTTTTTATTTACTAAGATTTGAGTCTCCAGAGACCTCCTTGTTCTGGGTAAATATGGAAGTGACTGCAGTGCAACTTCCTAGTATCCTGAGGTCATTGGTTTTAACTCAAAGGAAGGTGGAAACCTAGGAGTAGCTAAAACCAGGCTCTCAACTCAGCCCGGGGCTTCAGTGATAATGGCTGCAAAATAGCTTTTCTCAGAATTAAAAGTAACATGATATGTTTTTCTTTCCCCTTTGCTTTTAGCCCAGAAGGCTCTTTCTTGTGGATATATCACTCAAAGTAAGTGCTTTGAATTCTAGATGTCTCTGGGACGGCTCCCACAACCATTCCTGCACCTCCTACAGTCAGTTCTTAACATGGCAGCTGGTGATGGCGCTGTGCTCAAAGGTGGAGGGCAGAGGCAGGTCCCCGGAGATCTGGAGAGCATGCCTCTGGCCTCCTAGACATGCCTTTATAGAGCCATGGCTGTGTGTTGCCCTTGCTTCTTTCTCATTAAGGGTCTCTTTAAGTGGTGTCCTTTGGAACATTCCTGCCTTCCCAATAAAGAGAGTCAGGGTAGATAATGGTCCCTTCTGCTAAATTTCTTTGGGACAAAGGATCATGAAAAACCGTTTGGAACTCTGATGAACTAGTGGGTGTATTATTATTATTATTACTAGAGGCCTGGTGCATGAAATTCATGCGTGGGGTGGGGGGTGTCCCTCAGCCCAGCCTGCGCCCTTCCAATCTCGGGCCCCTTGGGGGAGGGCCAACTGCCGGTTTAAACTGGCAGTCAAACATCTCTCTCACAATCCGGGACTGCTGGCTCCCAACTGCTCGCCTACCTGCCTGCCTGATTGCCCCTAACTGCTTCTGCCTGCCAGCCTGATCACCCCCTAACCACTCCTCTGCCAGCCCGATTGACGCCTAACTGCTCCCCTGCCGGCCAGATCACCCCCAACTGCCCTCCCCGTGCAGGCCTGGTTTCCTTCCAACTGCCCTTCCCTGCTGGTCTGGTCACCCCTAACTGCCCACCCCTGCTGGCCTGGTCGACCCTAACTGTCCTCCCCTGCAGGCCTGGTCACCCCCAACTGCCCTCCCCTGCTAGCCATCTTTTGACCACACAGAGGCAGCCATCTTTGACCATATGGGGGCAGCCATCTTATGTGAGGGCCTGGTAGCTAATTAGCATATCCCCTCCTTATTGGCTGTGGGCGCCACCATTTTTGAGGGCGGGACAGTCAATTAGCATATTCCCTCCTTATTGGCTGTGGGCACTGCCATCTTTGAAGGCAGGGCAATCAGCATATTCCCTCCTTATTGGCTGTGGGCACCGCCATCTTTGCGATGGAGTGAGGGTCAGTTAGCATATTCTTCTTTATTAGATAGGGTTATTATCATCATCATCATTGCCAGTAAGAACTATGTAAGCCTTCATTTTTCTATCTTTGGCTTGGTTGCCAGGAAGCCCAGAGCAATGTGGTTTGCTTAACTGCTTGTACTTCCCTCAGCCTTCATTTCTGATACAGCTTATCTCGTGGCATTAAGTCTGGGTTTTTATGCTTACAAAATGCCATGGGATCTTGGCAGTTTTCCCAAACCCACTCAGCCAATATTTCAGCTACAAATGAAAATAGAGGTAAAACCTTTATTCTTGAGAGTTGCTGGGATGACCAGGGTCATTGTGAAAATACGTACCTGAATGACTAAGTAAATGTTTCTCTTTCTGTTCCCTCTTGTTTGTTTTATTCTGGTATTATTTCCCCAGTTATTGTAACTGTAGTTCTTAATCATAAACCATCTTAAATGCTCCCTGAAAGTAGATGAGCTTTCAAACAGGTTTCTTAATATTATCATGTCTGTTCACGTCTCAGCACTCAATTTGTCCAAATGAAAGGTCTTACATCTCCTGGTTTCCCATTTCCCCTCCCCCAGAAGGCCCCTACCTTGGGGAGACTCTCAAGATGAGTGTGGAAACTTCTGCATGTGGGTGGGGAAGGTGGCTTCTGATTACAGGTTTCTGAGTTTCTGGTTCAGAGACCCTCAGATTTCTGCAACACATTAAAAAGATCATACGCCATAATCAGGTGGTATTTATTCCAGGGATTCAAGGTGGGGACAATAGCTGCCAAACAATAAATGTGATACACCACATAAGCAGATTTCCTGAGGCTGTGACTGCTGACTTTGTAGCAACCTGAGTTCTCCTAGTTAAAGCAAAAGAGATCATTCTTGGACAGGTGCGCTGGTTTCTTTATTAAGATCACAACCTGTTACATTTATTTTCAACTTAGAAAGCTCTTTTATGTATGCGATTTCATTTAGCTACCTTCATGGTAGGTTTATTATTATTATTATTACTAGAGGCCCAGTGCACAAAAATTTGTGCACTGGGGGGGGGGGGGGGAGGGGGGGCCCG